CCTACTGACCCCCTCCTGCAGGGCGGGCCAGTCCTTTATAGTGCTGGCCCGTGCAGGAGGCCGGCCGTGCCAATGCCTCCCTGGCCTAGACCCTGGAAGTTCTTCCAGGCAAGAGCCTGGAAGTTCCCTGAAGTTTCCCTGTAGGGAAACAGGCTGGGGCCTGTAGGCCCTGTCAGAAGGAAGCTTCCAGGCAAGAGCCTGGAAGTTTCCCTGTAGGGAAACAGGCTGGAGGTCCGGGACGGGCCCTGCAGGGCCCGTGTGGCTGCACAATATGCCACACAGGCGTGTGCCGTCTTCTTCCTTGGGTCTGCAGTTCCCAAGTTGCCTTAACGCACAAGCAGCAGCAGCGCTTCCGCATCTCGCAACTGAACAAGTGATGAGCCGCTGCACTGTAGCAGCGAAATATAGGACTTGGCTCGGCTTGGCTTAGCCTGCTTCAGACCGGTACCGGTCGGCCGTGGCCTGTGCAAACATTTTGTCGGTTTGGTGGCTTTCGGACTTTCCTGGACATGCTGCAAAATTGGACTTGGGACTGTCGGACTGGACTGGACGCTTCTGGACTTTTCTTGTTGGGTGATGGACTCCTACCGACCTACGACGCTTCGGTACCGACACCTACGGACCTATGATACTTCAGCCTCTAGAACCTACGGCCTACCCTACGGGACAGCCCTGGGACTTGGGACTTGTTGGGACCCTGGGACCGGGACTGGGTGTCTGCAGCATGAACCTTTTCAATCTGCATTTAGGGGGTCACAGTACCTGGGGTTAGATACAATCCGTGAAGTCCTAGTGTGAGTATGCCCCGAGTCTGTGATCTTGAAATAGACTCCCAAAGTCTGAAAACAGGTTGAGAATCTGGAGTGCCTCTGATGCCTCGAGCATCCTGTAAATGACCTCAGCCCTGTAGTCCGAGGAGGGAGCTGATCCTGCGGGCAGTGGGACAGACAGTGGGCCATTGAAGCATCTCTGTGCAAAATGCAATGTTAAATCACATCGCATGGTTTGGGCATCAACGAGACAGTTGTCCCTCTTTCCCGTTTTGCTAAGCAACAAAGACTTCGCCTGGACAGGTTTCATTCCAGCAAACTGGACGGCCCTTCTCATTGGCAGGTGCTGTGGGAAACTGTGGTAGTAAAATGTTGTGCTGTCTACTGAACGAACCTTCCATTACCACTGAAGGAGGTTCTCCTAGGATAGACCTGCTGGTTAAAACTCTTGTGCCCTGGAACTAGTGCCTGGGACCACACTACTTGGGACCACTCTAGTTCTGCACAACCACTCTTTGCTGATATAGGATATCAGGCGGTGCCTTGTCAGACCAATAGTAGGTCCAGTACTCACACTAGCATGGCGTTTTTTATGTTATTTGACTTTGCAAGTACGATAAGGTGCATGACAATGACCCAGAAAAAAAGACAGCTCACCCATTGATTGGGTCTGTGCATGCTTTCTTTCATCTGTTTTGCCTTTCTTTTTGGGTTTCCCACTCAAGCTTCAGTCTCCCACTTCTTGTCCGCAAACCATAGCATTAGTGTGTGTTTGTTGGGCGTTATGGCGACACAAAACTGTTGCCATATCTTCTATCTATCTTGTTTTCATAGTCTCTAACTTTTATTCGTCAAATCAACACAGGACTTCCACAGGCCTGATGGATCAGGAGATGCACACACACCGGTCCGACCTGATGATTGTGTCCTCTATAAAGAGAAAACCGATGATCGTCAAGGATTTACATCAGCTCTGTCTCTCCCTCTCTCTTTTTATGTGTGCATCTGTGTGAATGGTTTTGTGCATGTTTATATGATTGTGTCTGCTTTCAGGGTTTTATTATCTCCAATCATGTGTTCATGCTCCTCTCATTTGGCTTTCTAATGTTATAAACGAAAGGTGATCTGATAATGGGCCATGTAATGTCCTAATTTGGTTTGCTGATTGGGATGCTGTGGTGTCGGTGCAGGGTTCGTGAAATTCCTAGAGTCATACTACATGATTGTAGTGACGAAACGGAGACAGATTGGCAGTGTCTGTGGCCATCCAGTGTATGGCATCGACGAGACACAGCTAATTACAATCCCACATTCGTCAGTGATGAGTGAAGAAGCACATTCGAAGGCTGAGTTGAGGTATGGAATTTACATCGGCAAAATTATGATGTTTGGTGCAACTGCAGGGCAGAGACCTGCACGAATGGATGTGACAATGTGACACTGATAATTGGAGACTGGGAAAGAGGGCATTGGAATGGGAGAAAGCACGTGACAAGTATGGGGGCGCACACATATGACCTGATATGGAGAATCACCATGCACTGAAGACAGGCATAAAGGATATGGTTTGGGAGTTGTGAAAAGGGAATGGGTGCAAGGATTGAGCAGCATGTTTCCTACTGGAGTTCTGGGGGTCACTTACGTTGATTTGGGCTTTCATGGAAGATTGGCATTCCAGGATGGACAGTGGGGGTACACCGTTCTTTAAAAGGTTTGAAAGCAGGTGACATGGATAAAGAAATGTGAAGACAGGCATGAAGGATATGGTTTGGGAGTTGTGAAAAGGGAATGGGTGCAAGGATTGAGCAGCATGTTTCCTACTGGGGTTCTGGGGGTCACTTACGTTGATTTGGGCTTTCATGGAAGATTGGCATTCCAGGATGGACAGTGGGGGTAACCGTTCTTTAAAAGGTTTGAAAGCAGGTGACATGGATAAAGAAATGTGAAGAATGCAAAGGAGAAGGGATATATCTTTTGTTATCTTTAACAAAACAACTGGAGGCCAGCCGCAGCTACGGTGTGGCACAGAAATGAGGCGAGCCCCACCTATGTGGGCCAGGGAGGGGGGGGGAGGAATGGGGAAAGGTTCACTGGGGCCATAAATAGATAGGAGCTAATGGGGGAAGGTTCAATGGGGCCAGAAATAAATAGGAGCTACTGGGGGAAGGTTCAATGGGGCCAGAAATAGCTATAATCGCGGTCCAGGATTTGAACTCCTCACCTGTTTATCAACAGCTACATGTGCATGAAATTCAGGATTTGAACTTGTGACCTGTTGACATGCGTGTACCAGAGCACTTGGAGTGGCTCTGAACCCCGGACCTTGTTTATCAATAGCTATGAGAGTGTGTACCATTCGGGATGAGAACTGACTGGGTCTGCTTCAAAACTAATTGTTGTGCGAGACCTGTTCTTCCCTTCAAGGGCTTAGAGGCCACTGCAGGATGGGAGGGGATCAGAATGTATGGCCCGCGGCCTGTCTTTTCCAAAGAAAAAATAAAAACGGCCGACCCGCACAATGTGTGGCAAGGTTGAACTATGTCATCATATACACAGCAGACATGACATGTCAGCGTGGCTGCCTACGCCTATTTCGACAAACAATAGACATGATATGAATTGGAAGATGTAAACTGATGGCCACTGCAGGATGGGAGGGGATCAGAATGTCTCGCTTACCCGCGGCCAGGCCACTGCAGGATGGGAGGGGATCAGAATGTATGGCTTACCCGCGGCCTGGTTTTTCCAAAGAAAAACGGCCGACCTGCGCAATGCGTGGTAAGGTTGAACTATGTCATCATATACACAGCAGACATGACATGTCAGCGTGGTTGCCTTGGCCTATTTCGACAAACAGTAGACATGATCTGAATTGGAAGATGTAAACTGATTAAAATCGCGCGGTGGTCCAGCCGGATCGCCCCGCGATCTTAAAACTTTAAGATTGCGGGCCAATCGGGGCTGTCGGGCCAGGAACAACCTGGATCGCCGTGCGATCTTTGGACAACTGGTAGGGCCCTGTGCAGAGGGCCAGGGCGTATTTGGCCATTGCAGGGCGGCGCTGTTGAGCGCATCGGTCCCGTAGGGGGACCCTCTCGGCTGCGCCACGCAGGATTTGTGCAGGACCTTTTATCGCGATGCAGTGGAGCTTCGTTGCCGCTCCAACCGAGTGCGCCAGCCATACCTCTCGCGAACCCCTATGACCGGATAGGGGCACGCGAGGTACAACTTACCTTCGCCCAAGGGGCTGTCACCACCCTTGAACAGGTGTATCCCCGTCGATCTATTGAACCACGTGCGAAAGCTAATCAGTTGCAATCGCAGAGGTGGCCCAACCGAGGGCGTTTCTCGTATGCTGTAGCATAGGGGGTACGTGTGGTTGCACACCTCTATCGGACCCGTATGGGAGCCGGGGCACTGAGTTGCTGAAGTCCTAAGGGCGACTCGTCGTTGGCCGACTAGGTCGCATCCTTCTTACCACGCGTCACACCACGCCATAATAAAGAATCAAGCTACTCAGACAAACAAAGTACTCCTAGTCCTTTTGTATCCAACCCATAACGTTTCCGACACGGGAATCAATTAGGCGTCACTAGCGAGACTCAGGATAAATACCGCGGGGACGCAGGCTTTCTCACATCGACTAGCCATGCCTGAATATGCAAGCAGTCGTAATGATGGTGTACTATGTAGTACTCATAATCATGTGGCCTTCAATGGTCTTGAGGGTCACTTTCGACACTCAAGTGTCCGTTGACACGCGCCTAGAGGGGTTAATCTCTCGCCGCTAGACAACCACTAAGGCGGTTGAGAGTGCTACCCTCTTCTGCATCCTGTGGAGAGTGGGTGGTAGACGGGTGATGGTTGGCGCTTATGGCCATGGAGACGAGCTTCATCATCCAACGCCCGGAAAGAAGTCAAGGGGTTTGACTTTGACGAGCGCCACGGACTTCAACCTCCAACTATAAAAATTAACAAGCAAAATCACTCGGTAAATAAATAAGCGTCCCAACAACCATGTTAAACAAAAACTCGAGGTAAAATAAAAGGGGGAAAGATAAACCTATCAGGTATGTAGATCGTGCGACACAGGGTTGTCATTCTCACTGCCTCCAAGGTAAGGCTCGTACACAAGCTCCAAAACACTAACTTGCATACGAAAGTCACATTGCCATACACCAATGTGGTCAACTTTACTGTTCCCTGTAACTCACACCATGCCTCTCACACTGAAGCCCCAGCCATTGTCCAACTTTCCATAAACCCATCAATTTTTTATAATGGCCATTAAAAGAAGTCCGGTTAGAACTCTCAAAGAAACATATTAAATCTCAGGGCTAAGGCATCAAGTTGAGGTACGGGTGTAAGCAAAGTTGTGTCATGAGCCGACAAATCGACAATTAACCAACCGACGTGTTATACAAAGATAACAAAAGACGGTCCTCGTAGGATCGGGCTGAAACTAGTCAAATCTTGAATCGGAGTGGCAAAGAAGGACGTGTAACACAACATAGGCCAAATCCCAATACTAAACATTAAGTGTATGCAAAATAAACCCCCATATCACATCTCACTCTAATCCTTCAAAAGGCTAAATTTTAAATCTACCTCTCAATGAGCACCTGAGAATAAGGAAAATTTTGGCAGCATTTCCCCTATTGCAAGGAAAATGAGTGATAGCAAAGTTCAGAAACCAAGTCGCATCATACACATGAAACCAGACAGCCTTGACCTCGAACCAAAAGCAAAATTGCAACTCGAGTTACACCAAACAAGAGCACAACAAAGCTCACAAATGACAATGTTGGAATAGTCTCGTCATCATCATCAATGAACCAATGCCCATAACCCATCTGGCGCTCAACACCTAGACTACAAATGGCAAATCCTATTTAGCCTATCTACAATACCGCTGGTGACCACAACAACTGCCCGAAGTACGAGCAGATCTCGGCTAATGCCGTTCACATTAAGCACCAAGTATGTCCCTCGTTGCACTCACACCCTAGATCCTCCACACAAATGCCACATGCACCCGAAGACCACCATGCGCTCTATCCAGCAACACACAGGCCAGTTCGGCTATGGCTGCCAGATTCTTCCCTACTTGCCCGTAAGCACGTAGGCACTCGCTTCAACAGCTGGCTTAGCAGCGCTTGCGTATAAGCAGTGAGTGCCCGAATGTCTGGCCAGCGGCCAGGCCCTTTCCTTTATGGAAAGTGACGGTCGGACGTGGGCTGCCTGGCTACATTTGGAAAAGGGAAGGTAGGGCCTGGGCTCACTCAACCAACTGACGCTGCGCAACTGCTTGAATTTCCCCAGTTGCGTCGAAACACAAATAGGCCTCTCGTCACTTGTCAGGCCCGCCTTCACTGATGGCGGCCGTTCTTGCTAAAACAGGGCCCAATAGGGCTTACTGAGGCCTTTAGCCTCGCGTTCCCTCCTCCGTACTTCGATAGTCCTCTGAGAAGTTCATTGAATTTGGCGTTTTCCTTTTGCAACTTCTCATAGTGAGTGACAACCTGTGGAGCGGTCTGCATCAGTTCCTCCCTTGTAAACCATCTGTCCTCTTTTGGATCAGTGTGATGTTTGAACCAAACGGGATACTGCAGCTTCGGCTTCGGTGGACGACCCTTGCCTGTTGGTCTTGGAACCGACATTTCCCTGTGGTCAACGTTGTCGATGTCGACCTCTTCATCCATGGTTGGGGCCAGCATTGATCGACGAGAGGGAAACTGGTCAGTTTCCTTGAAAGGTGCAAGTTTGGAGGTGTGAAAGACAGAGTAGGTGCGAAGGTGACCAGGGATTTGCACGACATAGAAAGGCCCATTGGGATCATCTTCGCTCACATCTAAAACCTGCCATGGTCCGAAGTACTGGGGCATGAGCTTACGAGAGATTTCGTGCTCTTGCCCAAGTTCAAACGACTTCACCCAGACTCTATCCCCAACGTGAAATGCAGATGGGCGGCGGTGTTTGTTCTGAGACTCTATCATAGCCGCCTGTGCTTTGTGCATGTTATCCACTGCTTGCTGCATAAGGTCTTCATGCTAGTAAGCAAATTCCGAAGTACCAGGCGCAGCAGTGGGCTGGTTCGCAGGTAATACGAAGTCTAGAGGCAGTTGAGGTTTGGAAGTTAGCAGCAAACTGTTGGGACTCACCCTTGTAGCGTTGTGCACAGCGTTGTTGCACAGGCTGGCGATGAGAGCAAGCTTCTTATCCCAGTCCACCTGATTAGGCTTGATATAGTGCCTCAACAAGTGTTGTACAACGCGGTTCATCTACTCTGCTTGTCTGTTGGCCTCTGGGTGGTTCCCGGAGGTCATCTGCAGCTGGGTGCCTTGTTCAACAGCTGC